ATTTGAACCGCCGAACTGCAGAACTGCAGTCAGCTGAAGTAGCCTGCAGTGCTGCATTTAACCACTGCGCCACCTCTGTCTTCTTCTGACTCTCACCAAAAGATCTCTTAGGAGACCCAAATTTTTCCTCCCTCTTGAATCGATCCTTACCGTAGTTGGGGCCTTGGTGAGGTCTTCTCCAACTGTTCCATCCCATGGGACAGAAGAGATACGACCTGAATGGTTGGCCGTTTTGAAAGCAGTTCTTTTCACCTTGACATTTCTATCTCATCTCTCCAACAACCCCCCCCACCCCAGCCCATCGTTTAGAAAACTCTTGCCAGGATGCGTGGCGCAATGTTGAACCCAGCTCTCCGAGGTTCATGGCAACCCAAAACGTTGACTCCCTCTTCTGCGTCAATTTTGCCTTTCATGGTTAGTCAGAAACCAGGCCAACCTCGAAAGGGTACGAGGGAGTCACCTGCTCCGCTTTTGGCTTGTCCCAACGGACGGATGTTCTTGGAGTCCTCCATGCAAGGACTTGGGTGAGCCTTGATCTTCTGATAGAGCTAGTCCTGCTTACACTTATCTTTTCATGTGTTTTGACTCCTTCCTCCTTTCACCCACCATCTGTGGTTTTCAAGGAGAAAGGAGGAAAAGAACCGAAATGTCATCGGATAAGGCTCAGGGTCATCTCGTGGCCTTCCTTCTACCGAGTGGTGGCATCTAGCCAAGGAAGGGGCTGAGACGTTCGAGGAACCCAGCCAATGGTTGTTGTTGGGAAGGCTTGCTTCCAGAAACACCCCCCCCTCCCCTCCAAACCTTCACCCCCTGGCTGATTGGCTTAGCAGAGGCATACTTTTCTCACTTGGACTTCAGAGTGTGGCTACGTTGGCAGCAGCTGTTTGAGCTCATCAGCCTGGGGCAGGAGGGGGTGGGAGGGAGAAGGACCTCCCCCTCCCACCCCTTCCCCTCCTTTGCTGATTTTATCATCTATCACTGCTTCCTTCCTCCCTCCCTCTCTGTCTTTCTGTTTTGTTCTCTCTTTCTCTCTCTCTCTCTCTCTCTCTCTCTTTCCTTCCAACCTGCACGCAGCTCCTCCACGCTTCTCATTCGGTCCTTCCAGAACGCACCCCGAGGAGAGTTTTCCGCCGGATTTCCAGGGGAATCGTTCATCAGCCCTGCGCAGACAGGCAAAGGAAGAGCGCTGCGGAGGAGAGAGAGAGAGAGAGAAACCAGTCACTGGGGGAACCTGATTTTAGTCCTCGGTGACAAACCGAGGCTCTTCTCCCCGGTAGAGACAGGCGTGAGGTTTTGAGGAAGTTGTGCCTCGAAGTTCCTGGACTTGGCTGGGAAGTCAGGAAAAGACAAAAAAAACCCCACTTGCAGCCGGCCTTCTCCATGGACAGGAGAGCTTCCTGGGGTCAATGAGACCACCTGAGGAATATGGAGAGGAGAGGAAGGCAGCATCGCAACTTCCTAAACCCAGAAGGGGATAAGGTGGGTTTTGGAGCCTCCAGTCTCTTCTAGAAGCGAGAAGAAGAAGAAGGAAGGGGAGTCTACGAAGGAAGGAGTGGAGCACCGCATGCCTGCAGCCAAGATGAGCGAGACCCTTCAGCTGCCCTCGCTGCAAGTGTCCGAGCCACAGGTGAAGGAGGACGGCCACCCCTGGTCCAGTTCCTCCACCCCGACCTTGCGCCGCAGGCGATTCAGGATGCGCCGTGCAAGGAACGCCGAAGAGCAGAATCCAGAAGCCGCCTCTTCCTCCTCTTCCAAGGAGTTCCTTCAGCTTCCCTCCATCGAGATTACGCCTTCCAGCGATGAAGACACCCCTTGGTCCAACTGTTCCACGCCGAGTGCCTCTCCCCGGCGTAAACGCTTCCTCCTTCGGAAGTGGTTGACCGTGAGGGAGAAGAAAGAATGTAGCGAGAGCAGGTAGGTGGACCTCCATTTATTCCCCCCCTCCCGTCCCTTTCGTGGTTTCCATTCTCCGACAATGTGCCTTCAGGGAGATAATATAAAATGCAGTAGCAGAGTTGGAAGGGACCTTGGTGGTCCTCTAGTCCAGTGTTTCTCAACCTTGGGCACTTGAAGATGTCTGGACTTCAATCCCAAGAACTCCCCAGCCAGCGAATGCTGGCTGGGGAATTCTGGGAATTGAAGTCCAGACATCTTCAAGTGCCCAAGGTTGAGAAACACTGGACTAGAGGACCACCAAGGTCCCTTCCAACTCTGCTACTGCATTTTATATTATCTCCCTGAAGGCACATTGTCGAAGAATGGAAACCACGAAAGGGACGGGAGGGGGGGAATAAATGGAGGTCCACCTACCTGCTCTCGCTACATTCTTTCTTCTCCCTCACGGTCAACCACTTCCGAAGG